ATGTGTGACTGCGTGGGTGGGGCAGAGGGAGGGGGGGGCGGCGCGGGCGCAGGTGCAGTACCTTAAAAAAATGTCAAATAGAAGGCCAAATTGTCCCCTATTATTTCAGATTTTAAGACAAGGAATAACATATTTAAGCTAAAAAACAGAATTCTTTGAATGTTAGGACAGAAGTCCAACCACTGTAACAATTTGAGCCAATTTTCATCCTTTGCTGAGTGCATGTAAGTAGGTTTGGATACCCATTTGTAATCCATGGATTAATTGGAATTACTGCACAAAATAAGAGTTTGGATTTTTATCTAAATGACTCCCTCTAGCCTTATGTAGCTATGAAAACAACTTCCTTTCCCATGAACAATTATTATATAACCAAGTACTCAATAAATAATACAATTTAGGTAATGTAGGATAAAAGCTCTGCAGTATTTTGGGTTTGAAAGTACAAATATAGTACAGGACTGCATTTCTTTAAAACATTGTCTTTTCCTGGGACTGCATAGCTGCCTATACAACTGAACATCATCCTTTAAAAAGGTTTTTAGTAAAGTGTTCAGTCTTCGAATTTATTTAAATCGGAAGCACTGCCCAGACAGGTGTATATGGCACTTTAAAAACTTTCCTCGATTTATTTGTATAAACCAAGACAAGCATCAATTTATCACACTGCAGCCTTGTTTTGGATTCTAGGTATACTGATATTATGGATGCAATGTAAATATTTGCACTAGACTGTTGCTTAAGATGCTTGGTTTTGCATCTAAACAATCGACCCATTTTACTCAGATCCTTGCATATCATTTCCTGTATTCGTGTACAGATATCATTCAATAATTTATCCTGCTTTTTAAAAATAATACTGTCAATATTTTAATTCTTCTCAAGCTTTAGTCCATTTTATTTGGAAATGCTGTCATTTCTATTACTTTAAATGACAAAAAGTATCATTCAATAATCGTTTAAACCAAGCAAGCTAGTGTTATTCAATAGTCATTTAAATATAGTGTGATGATGATGCACAGGAAACAAAGTATATATTCCTACATTAAGAGAGAAAGAAAGAAAGAAAGAAAGAAAGAGAGAGAGAGAGAGAGAGAGAGAGAGAGAGAGAGAGAGAGAGAGAAAATGGGCCTGTTTTCGTGAATTCTCGATGAGAATTACATTGATTAAGTACTGTGCCAGCAGAAACAAGTCTTAGGAGCTGCAGGTTGTCAGCAATTTCCTTCTCCAGCACATGGATAAATACACCTGGAAACACCTGGAAACATCTACCTACCTACCTATCTACCCTCTCTCCCTACCTACGTACTGTATTTCTCTCTCTATCTATCCCTCTATCTACCTACCTACCCTCTTCTCTCTCTCTACCTACTGTACTTCTCTCTCTCTCTCTCTCTCTCTCTCCCTCCCTCCCTCCCTACTCTCTCTCCCTACCTACCTACTGTATTTCTCTCTATCTATCTATCTATCTACCTACCAATTTTTTTAAAAAATTGCCTCTTCAAAACCTTGGTGCGTTATGGGAGAAGAGGCTGCAGCAAATAAATCAAATCCATATGAGGAAACTCACTATTGCAGATTTATCTTCGTAACTTTGGCAAAAGTCTACAGGTGTTTTTAGAAAAATAGATCCAAATGATGATAGTGCTACAAACACAAGATTCATTTTATCCTACATGAACAAACAGGGATGTATTAAATTACTCTTAAAACAATGTACCAGGTACACCTGTTAAACACAATTCCTCACATATGTAGCTCCATAGCTTGGCTCAGCACAGGTAAAAATAAGGAAGCTTCAAGCAAAATTTGAAACATTAAAGAAAAAGATCATTTGTTACAATGCTCTTATAACAGATGTTACAAGCATATGGAAAAGGTCAATCATGGACAAACTCTAATTTTGCAATTAAAATGAATATAATAGGATAATTAATCATACATAAACTGAGCCATTGAAATATTGTGAATAATTAAAGTAAGCATTCAGATACAAGCCTTAAGTTAATTTTTCAATGTATTAAAAATTAGTATATATGCCTACCTGTAACGAACATGAAATGAATTATCTTCACACATGTTTAACAAAATGACATCTTCCATCAATTCACATTCTGAATGAATTTATTATCAATTAGGCAGCATGTAGAAAAATCACCAAGGAATGAAAAAATATTCTCATAACAATGTCCCAATACGTTATTCAAGATTTGGAGTTAATAAAATTCAAATTCTTGTTGCAGTATTCTTCCTTGATTAGAAAAGGAGGTTCTTATCAGATATCACTTATATATTCAGAAGTTGTGTTACAATCTGTGTAAGTCGTTCAGTTGTATTTCTGCAAGGAAAGTAGAAAATGCTGTTTTCAATTTCATTTGTATAGTGTCAAATTACTTTAGTTTTAAATTTTATCCTAATAAATTGCTGCAGTGGTAGAAAAATATCAGAATGAGAACTCAATATCATACTCTCTTGCATATTCCCACTAGAATTGTACACAAAATGGAAAATACACTTTGTTTCAACCAAGAAACAAATACTGCAATTTCTGGAAATTCCACTGAACCTAGAATGGTTTTGTTTTTCTATCTTTTGGCCAAAACAAAATCTACAGAGATGTTGAGTATGATTTCACTGATCATGCCCAGTACAAATGAAACTGTCTGTCGCATTAGCTTTAGAAGAGGAAAACAAGAAAAAAAAATCTGCCTCTGCCTCTGCCTCCCAGCATCCATCCAGTATTGATCTGGCTAGCGTCCTTGCAGCAAACAGCCTGGTCAGTTTCAGCATATTATCGCAGCATGTGGCTCGTCAGGGCTCCCAGCAGGTGGTTCGTCAGGGCTCCACTCCATTGCACCCACCACTGGTCAACTGAGCTGAGTTGCCATCGCCGCCGGGAAACACTGGAGCCTTTGCTGCCAAACAGTGGACTGGCGGTTGACTCAGCTTTCCGGAATACCAATCAGCTGTTCTAAGCGATGGGAATTGCTGCCGCCAATCTCCACCACCGATGCCAAGAACAGCTGATCGGCGGTATTCCGGGAGGCCAATCCAAACACCGATCAGCTGTTCGATAGCGAAGGGTCCAATGTTCCCCGGTGGCAGTGAGTGGTGGCAGCGATGACAGGTGGCAGTGCCAAACACCGCTGCCACATCAATCCCCCTCCCCCCACTTTAATATTTGCTCTAAAAGACGCAAAGAAATTTCCCCCCACTTTTTTGGGGGGGAGTGCATCTTATACTGTGAAAAATACGGTATGTTTTCATCCATCTCTGGACTAAACAATAAAACAACTGTTTTTATTCTATATCCAACACAAACAGGAATATTTTGGTTCAGAAATAAACCACAAGAAAGTACCTGTTCTGTACAGAATAGTCTATGTAAACAAATATTTCATTGAAAAAAAATGAAATATTGGCAATGTGACTAATAAACACTACTCGTTCCTCAACTGAAATTCCATACAAACTATCCTGAATTGCTCAGTAATTATTTCACTTAATGATAAAGTCATTGAAATGGATTGTGGTCACTAAATGAGGAGTGGCTCTAGTAGGAAGCAAGAATTAAGAGACCTAGTTTAATCTAGTGATTAAGGCACCAAGCTAGTAACCAGACTGTGGAGACTGTGAGTTCTAGTCCTGCCTCAAGCATGAAATTGGCTTGATATCTTGATAGCCGGTCACTTTCTCTCAGCTCTACTCACCTCATAGGATGGCATTATCGGGAATATGGGAAGAGGAAGGAATATTAAATATGCTGGCCTCCTTCAGTTATAAAAATAATAAAGGTGGATAAAAAAATTCAACAGACAACTCTCTAGAATAGGTATGTAGGGTCTTTGGATCATGGGGCTTTCTTCCTCATCCCATCTTCCATACAATAAAAATTATTTTTAATCCAACAAAAGTCCTATCTTTAAAAATCTGATTGTTATACATAACAGCATGTCAATCAGAAAATGAGGTTTATCTTTCCTTTTCTACATGCTACAAACCAGAGGTGGTATTCCACCGGTTTGGACCGGTTTGCCTAAAACAGTAGCAGAAATTGCAGGTGGCCCTGCCCACCCACCCCAGCTCTATGGCATCCCATCTAGGCCCTTTTTTTAAAGCAAAAAGCCCATGTACAGAAGGCTTAGCACATGCACGGAGATGGTGTGTGCAAGCGAAGCAAGTAAGCATGCACATGCGCTCACATTTGCGAACCGATAGGGAAGGTAAGTAAATAGCACGCCTGCTACAAACCATTGAAATTCTTTTAAATCAATTATACATCCACATCAATCTTGGTTAAGTATCACACAACTGTGGATTTAATTAGGATTAATACTAAGCCTACAACCAGCAATCTCTCTTGAATGGACCCAGTTGAGAAAAGCTGGTCTAATCAGAACAAAGGTCATAAAATGGGGCAAAACTCAGTTAATAACTGTCTTAGATAGCAATGAAATTTTTGGCTCAATTATGGTTCTAAATCAAGGACTTTCTGTACAGATGAAACAAAGGAAAATAAGTGCTTGAAAGGATTGTAATTTATAATACATCACAATCTTAAAAGAATGTTTTTAATAAAAATTGGTATATGTCACCAGATAAATTTTCTAGAATAGATGAAGGCATTTCATATTTATGTTGGAAATATGAACAAGAAAGGCCTTTTTATCAACTTTGGTGGTGATGTGAAAAAGATTTTTTTTTTATTCTAATACATACATTGAATTAGAGGGTTTTAAAGATTAACACACAATTGAGACCATATTTTTTTTCTTTTACGATTGGCCAAACAGCTGGAAAAAAAATCAAGGAACTTCATTTTTGTGTATAATTGCAGAGACATTATTGTATGCATAGAGATGATGGAACTTGCTGAGATAGGTAAGTTGACTTCTTGGATAAGAAAAAACAGTAAAAATACAAATGACTGCGGCTGAAGTGCCAGTGGTTAAAGCTGTGGCTTTCCGCACTGCCACACCAGCCGTAATTAGCAACGAACCGTGAGATTGAGATTGCTCCGTGAGATTGCTTGCAGCGGCGGCGGCAGCAGTAGAGGGGAGTAAGGAGCACGACAGGGGCTGAAGGGATATACCCATGGGCTTGTCGCTCTGTCCGACGAGCCAATTAAGACTAGAAGAGGCCCGAGGCTTGAACCCCTCCAGAAGGCTCAGGGAAGCCGCAGAATCCCCGAATTTCAGATAAGGAGGAATTTGGAATAGCAAAAGCCAACTGATCGAAATAGGAAGGAATTTGGATATGAAGTTTTGCCAATTAGTTAAATCAAGGTAGGAGAGATCAAAAGACACAGCTTGTCCAAGGATAGGACTGAGTCTAAGCTGGGAGGAGCTATCACAGAGGGCATGACTTATCAACTGGTAGACTCAGTCCTATTGGATACTGACAGAGTTAACCCATGTCTGGATGATGTGTCCAGCTACTGGAAAATTTATGGTTTTGATTATTGGACAAGATACATTATAGAAAGAAGAGACTTGTGTTGTAACCATAAAGTTCAAATATAAATTTGTAGCTGTACTTATAACTGCTATAAAAAAAAAAAGCTACAGGTAGTCCTTGACTTAAAACAATTGAGACGGAAATCTTCAGTCATTGAGGAAAGCAGTTAGGCAAGACATCATGTGCTACTTGGTGCAACCACCATAATCCCTGCACTCCAGGGTTAAAAACCTGCCTGGTGGACATACTGACACCTGTGAGGAGGTGGGGGCTAAATCCCTCCAGAAGGCAACCCTGTCACTGTTAAAAAAGTCTGGCTAGAAAATGTCTATCCTGAAATCCAAGCAGGATTTTAGCACAGTGTTTGCAGCATGGGGCGTTTACAGCCAGGCCCCAGAGGTAAGAGAACTCCCTCTTGTTTCCTGAGAGGTGACAGCAAAATGACCCCACACTGCATCCATCCCCAAATCCAAGCACATGGCAAATGCACCATGCTGCAAACACTCTATGCCAAAATTCTGCTTGGACTTTTCCAGCCAGCCCCCGGAAATCGGGGATAGTGCTAGCAACCTTTTCTGACTTTGGGGGGAAGCTGGAGGGAAGATAGCAAATGGCAATCCCATGATCGCAGAGTGGTTGGCAACTAGTTGCATGTGTGAACAGGTTCCCAGGCCCCCAGGCCATAATCAACATAATCATGGAAGTGCTACAACCATCATAACTTCAAGGGAGTTGGTGAGTTCCTTTGTTCAGTGTCTCAATTTCTGATGCTGAATGAATGGTTTTAAGCAAAGACTGCCTGTACTTCTTTGTATTTTTTATTTCATTTTTTGCGCTTTTAGCTTTCTGTTTAATTTTTTTTTCTCGGTTTAGTTTGTATTCATTTTTTAAAAAAAAAATAAAATAATACATTAAAAATTGCGAGGTAGTCCACAGAGCTTTAAAGGATTGGCAGCCACCTTCATTAGGTTTTGTTATATAACTTCTGAATTGCAAATTCTTAATAGAAAAAAAAATCAGACCTAAGTATCGTTTTCTGCATTAGTGTTTTGATCTGCTGGCCAAAATCGCTAAAAAAAAATATATTAAGCAAGTGCTGAAAATATGGCTTTGGCACGACTCCACAAGTTTACAAGTTTACAAATCCAACAAATCCAGCTACACAAGTTTACAAATCCAACAAAATAAGAACCGTACAGTTAAAGGGAGGACGCTACGAAGCAACCTGTGCAAGAGAAAAATGGTGAAAAAACGTCTGTTGGATCCTAAAAAAACATCCTGTCATGTAACATCCATTCAAGCCAGGTCATCCCGGGACCCCCCAATTTTTTTTAAATGCTAATTGGGAGGAGAGCGCCAACTTTCAGAAGACAACATAATTATTAATCCTTTCCAGAGCAAAGAAAATCAGCATTAATGGGAGAGAAATTCTCTGCTGATTCCCCCCCCCCCGGAAAACGTAAGAGGCACGTAGCCTCCATTTGGTCTCCCCATTTTGGCATACTTTCCCGCCCCCCTCCCCTTATAGAGATGATGAAAGAAATGACTTCCTACGGAGATAAAGCTTGTCTCCCTAAATAAATAAATAAAATAAATAAATAATAAAGTAAAACGTATCCCTCCCCCCCCAGAGGAGCCTCTGACTAATCCAGAAGCTGAAGGAAAAGACTTCCTACAGAGATAAAGCCTGTCTCCCTAA